CGATCCGTTTGTATAGGGGCCTCCCAGTTTCTCCCACATATTTTTGCCCGCATCCTTGACATTCCACCAGATAAACTGTGTCCCCTGAGTTGACAGATTTTAGAATCACTGCAGTAACTACAGCCCGCCCTTCCACATTTATCTTCATAAGGCCTGGAAAATGTAAGGAGCCGTTTTAAATTTGGTGGAGGACGAAATATTAGGCGTATAGGAAGTGGTGAGCACTTTACAATATTATTTACTTTTAATGCCGTGCTTTCATTTAGGTAAGGTAATACCAAGGGAATTCCGTCCGCCGTGGAATGCGGTTTCCATGTATGGGTGCGGGTGCTTGTATACCCATTCTCTCTTAGAATTCTATCCACCATCGAGTCTGCTTCTGATGACTGCTGGGTGCATATTTTGTCTTAGTGATCACCATATTCCGGACAACATTGGCTTTCATGTACAGGGGGTGACACTTCTAGCATCAAAACCATAAGCCGCAGTAAGTATCGAATAATGCAGCAACACATGCTAGAAGTGGTCACCATGGGAGGAGTCCGTGCGGGTTACATCTCTGTAGGCTTATATGCTGCATAAAACAAGCTAAATAATTTCAGGCCTGAAGAAGGTGCTACGCACCGAAATATAGCCAGATAAGATATATTTTGAAAAACTTTTGAGACTTTTGCTGTCTTTTGAGTTTTTTGGAATAAACTTTTGGAGTTTCACATTGTTAATACACATTCAGATGAGTAATGAGACTCCGGGACAGCACCATACTCCGATGAAAAAATTTGTAACAAGCGGATATTTTTATTTATTTACTTATTTATTTATTCTGTACACATATCAAAAGAACATGTGAGTAGAATTAAGAGAACAGCAATTTCCGATGAAGCTAGAGACAAAAAAATTAAACAAACACATCACTACGTTTCTTAGAGGTTACATATTTCTGCGGAAAAATATTTGCCCATAAGGTTGTTAAAACATGAGCAAACCCTGTTACAGAAAAGCTTTGATCTGAATTGAGTTTTCGCAATAGTAGTGTCTAATCTGATCGATGCTCTTCTCGTTTTGGACGGTAACATAGAAAACAAGTCCTCTACACATATTTTTACCAAATCTTTTAGAATTTTGAAGGTCATTCTTCCTTCTCCATTCAAGGGTTTGTAGGCCATATTCAGTGTTCCTTACTGACCCTCGTGGAATATTAAGGTAACTTAGTCCTGAACATCTAAGCATTAGTTTGCGAGTGAAATTGTTCTGTACACTTTCGAGTGCATGAATATCCTTTTTTAGATAGGGACTGAAAACAGTGGTCCTGCATTCTAATATTGGATGTACATATAGTTTATATGAACGAACTAAAATGCTAGGATCTCTAGTCCGAAGAGCTCTAGAGGTTATATACAGCGGCGAAAAAAAACCGGAACAAGCCAAGAACTTTTATTTATTTTAACTCAATTATTCTACTTCAAATACAGTTCGCCTTTCGCAGGTGCAGAGTGCAGAACCACCAGATTATGTGGTGAGTGGAATGATAATAAAGAAAGAAAAAAAGAAACCTTCGAAAATACCCTGGACAAGACCCCATGGACGGGATTAAAAATGGACTAATAGAACTATGGGAGAGTTCTCCGAACCAAGCGGGCGAATTCCAGCGATTCATCCTCCAAGATTCGATAAGATATTTTCAGACAAAATAACAGAATAAAGCGAAAGAAGTCGAAAGATGTAGGGAAGTTCTCCCACAAATCAACCATCTTCCTTAATAGCACAGCAAGCCTAAAAAACGCACCGTTTCTTTTCCTTTTCCTTGCTCTTCTTCGGTTTCGGTGTCTTTGGGCCTTCAATGAAACTAGGAGTTGGTCCTTTCACCGCAGACGATGAATGAGAATCCTTGAAAGACGAAAGTTTGTACAAAATTTCCAATGGGATCCAAAAGAGGATGCCTACCTGATTGTCTGGGAAAGCGCTGCGAACTGGCTGCGCAGTAAATGATGTTTTTCGCTCGACAAGCGCCGGCACGAAGGAGTCACTCGAAGGAGGTGGTTGTACGACCTATTAAGCAAACATTTACTTCACGTTATAGCACCAACTATTGATCAAAACAGTTTGATGCGCGCATTTGAAGCTACAACCTATTTTCGAAAGATTACAATGACTGTGAAATTCTCTGTTACAGGATCTTTCAGCACAACTTTTGCAGTAGTTGCCATCTCTGACTTTCTATAAACCTCGGCATTTTTTTGTAGATGTAATGTTTTTAAGAACAGTTCCACGAGGTTGTGGTGGATTCGCCTTCTTCGGAGCCTGAAGCGGTCAAGCCGAATCGTGATAGCTAAACTAGCATCAAACATACCTCCAGTCCTTCGACCCACTCAACACAACATGAATACGAGTGAAACCAACGCACATTCCCCGTTCCCTATGAAGAGTGTTTGAGAGAACTCAACGATTGCTCACTCGAATTTCGCAGGAAAGTTGCGTACATGGTTTTTCATGTATAAATTAATCACGGATTGAGATAAACCTTCAGCTGACGGACTTATTCCAAATCTCCCCTTATGTAGGCATCACAAGAGGTCATCGCTATGAAGTGCAAACGGACATCCCACACAGTGAGTCTTACAGAAACTCCTATTTGCGTGGATACAAACTCCCCCCAATGCGCTAGACCCTACTATGTTTCGCTATAAACATGCTTTTACCTTCCTGCTCCATTACAAAAATAAATTAAGCAACAGAAGCAAACAATAGCACATGTTGTCTCATTCTTCACGAACTTTCAGTTCACTAATCTTCTCTTGATTTTCTTTTTAGAGCATTTTTTCCAACTCGCTTTCATTCCATTTGGGTCCACCTTCGGAAAACAAGTAATATTGGTCGCAGAAAGAGAAGAATGTGCGATTGATACGAGTGTCACTGATCATCGTACCGTTACATGATAATCTCTATGATCTGACCTGACAGAACTTAGAACTTCAGATTGACACAGCACACGAAATTAAACGCAATCGTAACACATTGAATGTCATACTACAACTTAAATTTGCTTATCCAAGCCCCAATGGTAATGCGGCAACAAACAGTCTTTTTTCTTTCTAAAAATCAGTCTTTTTTGAATCACATTTTCACAGTTGCAATACAATTCGCATATAGAAAAAACTGGGCATGTAATAATTCGAATAAGATTACAATAAAATAAAATAAAAGTTGAGTCTTAAGAAATAGAAAGTCAAAACATTCGATATCATAATGCAACCTTGCGCCCTTTTTGCTTCACCTTTACTTATTCTAAGGTTATCGTGGCCGGGAAGCATCTGCCCCCTCAAATTACGGCCACCGCCTCTTCACCATCCGATCGCATAACGCGATTGCAATTTTCTTTAACACTGACTCCGGTGGATCGAGGGGCGAGTGGAACATGGAGTTCTCCTTCGGGTTTATCCTGGATGAGGAGCCACCCCTGCCATAAACTACTGCACTAAATCCATTGTATTGTACGATACCTGGTGTGACTCAATTTAACACGTGTTCCGGACGATGCCTAAATTTCGGCGGGCTTTCCAACGTGTTGACCGGCAGACCCTTTTTTCGAATGCGCAGGCTGGCGTGACACACATGGTGTCAGTCACGCGCCACACGGGGCAGCGTTTCAGGTGTCGAATTTCTCAAATGATTATTTCACTTGCGAAAATTTTGCCACGGAGGTTCTTCTCACATGCTCCAATCACGAATTAGCATTCATTTTTGCTGTGGCGCCTATATGGCGTCCCATGAGATATATTAGCTCCGCCATAAGTTTTGACCAAATCGCATGTATTTTTGCTTTTACGGGTTAATTATGGATCGCTGAACCACAAATATGACATTGATTGTTGGCGCTGGCGCCATTAGGCGCCACGAGCGCTTCTAGCGAAATTAAAGTAACTTTGCATCTGGGGTTATTCAGAATCGCGATCACGAATATGACATTTATTTTTGGCGCCGGCGTCATTTGGCGCCACAGCGCCAGTTTTTAACGGGCATCTACTTTCAGAAATATACACAAGGGGGTGGTTTCCCCTTTCACTGTTCATCATTGATATGTGTGTTGAAGTTTTGTGAAAGGACCCGCGTACTCCAAATGCATATTGATATCGATTTTGGTGAAGATGTCATAACGCCAAACTGCGCCAAATGGCGCCAGCTCTAAGAATGAATGTCAATTTTGATCAGAATCCTTTGAACATTCCTCGGCGTGTTTACCTTAATGTATTGTGATGAAAAAGCCGGCCGCGGCGCCAAACTGGCGCCCACTGCGCCAATTGGAGTCTGTAAAGAGCTATGCCAAATCACTGAAAGAAGCATGGAAGACTGAATGGCCTCAGTAGATCAGTCTATCAGCAAACTGTTCTATGTGCGATGTATTTCTGGAGCATGCTGGTTTTATGAATTGATTCCACTTTTGAAAAAGTGTTCTACAAATAATCCATCGGAGCTTTTCATGGCCCAACCATATACAGAAATTCGTACCTCTTTAGGAATATATAACAACTCAGGGAAATTGTACAGCAATCAAATTATGGAAAAATTCTAGCCTCTGAAGATGGTGACACACCATGTGTGTCACGCGGTCGGAAATGGGTTAACTATGATTTACTTCTGCCTATTTGCTTCTGCAGGTCACACATCTTCGAGATGTTATAAATAAATAAAATATCCACTAATTACTTGAGTATGGCACCCAGTGTGTCCTACCCAGTTTAACCCATACAAAATCAAAGTCAATCAACAGTATCATCCAGAGCTGCCATCTGAACAGTCAGATCCACTGGACCAAATGATGACGGCCCCGGTGTTGGAAGTATTCGAACTGAGCCCAGAACGGATCCGGCTGGAACATACTTATAAGTCAGAGATCACGATTGGATTTGACCCTGTGAGGTTTCAAAGAAGGCGGATCCACCGAAACGGTTGGCCGATAAAGGTAATATAAACCTCGGAAGTCCGTTTCAAGAATTATTACACTACCATCCACAACTTTTTCCATTTAAGATATATGAAATTTCAAGAGAAAGTGGGCAAACAATTGAACAATGCACAAATGCGGAACGTACCACATGCTTAGCGGTTGAACTCTGTTGCAAAACGGAATGCTGCACCGTTTGTGCAGGGCGAATCGGCGTCACAGGTGGCGGCTGTGATAGACAGACAATCGAAGGGGAATCCACCGCTACCATGGGTTTAGTGACAAATCGTGGAGCAGCCGTTAGAGGAGTAGATTGACGTGGAAGTGTGGCAGGAGCAAATCCACATGCCAGTGGAGGAGGTTGTGGTACGGTCATTCTGTAAATTCAAATAGTGTGAAGAATAAAGAGTATATAAAAAACAAGTAATCTTATTCCCACTCCAAAGCAATATTCGGCTCATAATATCTAACGGCCACGGTTTGCTCGTAATCATGCCATTTTAGTGGATCCGCAACCGCAGTAGGCTGAATACATCAACAGACGCTTTAATTCCAAATTCATGGATAGGAAACTGCCACAAAACCTTACCAAGACCGGCGAAATCTTCGGTGTATCATCTGCAGCAGATACCAGGAAAGGATTAGTATTCTTACGCGATGGATTTGGAGCCAGATCAGGATCAACAAATAGAGATTTTGAGATCTGTTGTGACTGTTGAGAAGAAATTTCGCCAAAGACTTCCTGAAAATTTAGTTACAATAGCACGTTTCAACTCATGGATACATTCTGCGGATGATGGGGCGTGTCATTCGCGATGACGCGGCAAAAGCACGCTCGCTTTTTTTTCTTCCGGCAAGAACCACACAGCAAGTATCAACTTGTTCATATCAGTGCTTTTCCATAACGTATGCCGCTTACGCGCTTCAACCACTGATGGGGAACGGGCTGCACCAAATTAGCCTTGCTGACATAACCCTTCATCTGCAAACAAGATTTGGTCAATAACCACATGCTTAC